ATTAAATTTTGAAGGTGCTGCACACTTCTGGCTCTGAAAATGTCTGGATATGAAAACCCACTTGCAAACATTCATTTGAAGTTGCGATTCGGGAACAAAGCAACTGTGGGTGATTGTAAACACACATCACCAGAAGCAAATGAGCTGCAATATTTCAAATTGAATGTTCGTCAAGAAACCCACAGCAAGTAGTCCGTTCAAAAGAAGTGTAACAACAATCTGTTTCAGAGGTCAGTCCTAAATTTGCGAGGTGGAAATGGATGCACTGCTCTTTTCTAGATCATGAAGAATTGGCGTTTATAAGGCAAAATCAAGCGTGACCAGTACAAATGCTAAAATATACATACGAATCATAACGCATAAATTCATTATGTTTGTGCTTCATAAATAAGCACCAAAGTATTTTATTTTGGAGAAAGTAAAAAAGCAACAAAAATGTATCACAAGTGACCACCTTGTAAATACACAATACCCATTAACTGGACTGCCTGCTGACCTTTGCCCACCAAGCAGCATTTGCGTGCATCGAAGCTTTGGACTACAGGTGAGAAAGCTCTGACCTGTCAGCGGTGCTAGAACCCTCTTCAGGGCGCCAGAGCACATGTGAGGTTGAAGGGAGGAATGTTAACAGTCGTCATTAGTATCTGGGCTTCTGAGGGGGAGAGGGGCCCAGCGGCCCTGCTGCGAGTATGTCACCGGCTCGCGCCGCTATCTCTGTTTGGGTTTTCCCACGTTATGTCATGCATAGACATGCACGTACGCACGCTAAGTCGTGAGAAGCAGGTAGGGATTTTATTTTGTGTTTAGAGTCCATGACTCCAACTGAGATTTATGCTTGCAGCAATGTGTAGATTTCACAGGGGAGTATGTAGTTCATGTCCAGTGTATTTTAGGAGCCATGGCACTTAATTGAATAATTGAAAAAATACATTTAGCACATTTTATTAAATGGTTCATAATAGGGCGAAAAAAAAAAAAAAAACTTGTTTCAAAGATTTTAAAGACATGAAACCAAAACGTTATCCTGTTTTATTTTTTTAAGTTGTACAACTGAATTGTTCACAAGTTTATATTTATATAAACTTGTGAACAATTCAGTTGTACAAAACCTTGAAAAAAACCTTGTTTCAAAGATTTTAAAGACATGAAACCAAAAAGTTATCCTATTTTTTTTTAAGTTGCACAACTGAATTGTTCACAAGTTTATATATATATATATATATATATATATATATATATACGTATATACTGTATATATATACAGGAGACTTCATATGCAAAAACATCTGAGTCTGTGAAATTCTGATTTTAATTTAGCATTTTTGGTTTCACTTTAATTGATTTTCACTTTAACACATTCTTTTTTTAACATGTAATATTGCATCTACATCTCTACTAACTCTCATTAGAGTATTAGTAGACTGGTGGGGTTAGAATAAGTTGACATGCAGTTGTAAAGTTATAGTCAGATTGTTGAATGAGCATCACAATAAAGAGTTAGCAGAGTAGTTGCAAAGTTACTTATAGTCAACAGAATGTTCAAAAGGGACCATCCAAGTGTTACCACATTTTTTTTTTTTTTTATCAGGATCCTATTTAGGTTCAGTAATCAAAATGGCAATGAAAGGGTAATCAGTCAATTATTGAAATGCCTCGTTTTCAAAAGATAAAATTAGAGGAAAATTATTAACATAAAAATGCTAATTTCAAAAGAAAAATCACAGTTTCTATTAAAGCTACAATATGCAAGATTGTTTCGCCACCAGGGGTCGCTAACCTCTTACAATAACAAAGGCGTATTAATTACGTATATTCCGCATTAAGCGGAATTATGGATCTTGTCTTCAAGCTGATGGATCTTTTATAGATGAGTGAATACATGTTTTTAACATGACTGTAGTATGATGCAGGGCACGATAGCTAGACGTATACCAGCGCCAAACGTAACGCGAGTCCCGCGGATGTAAAGGAAATAAGGACATTTCATTCTACACACTGAATTACTCACACAGGTCAGTTCATTAGAGGAATTAAACTTAACGGTTTGTGTTGAATGTTGTTAGTTAGGTTGTTTGTTGGCTGAATGAGACTAAACTAGATTAATATTAGAGAATAACATGATCATATTCTAACTTTTCATCATGTTGAACTATATAACATTGATTAGATTTACATACATTGATTAATTTGCTCACCTGTTTGCTCAAGCAACATGCAACACTCGCGTCTCTGTCAAATCAAAGTTAGTCGCGGTCGTGGAGCTCTCGGCATCTCCAAAGATGTTGATCTTCGTTTTAGTCCTCTTTTTGTCTCAAAGTCCATGCTCCATAATGTTTGAACAAAACACTGCTAGGGACGCTCACGCTGTTGAGCTCGCATAATGGGCATAACCGACTCAGTTGTCCACGTCTGACGCTATGGTTACTGTTGCAGTACAAGGTCAAACCCAGCCCGTTCTACGCACATTGCACCCTTTATCGTTAATATAACATGCGGAACCCAAGGCATTATAAATCCTTTAGGGTTAATATGAGACTACCCTACCCTACCTCACACCTAAACTTACCCATCACAGCACATGTTATATTAACGATAACGGGTGCCATGTGCGTAGTATTTCGCCGTTTTGTCATATAGCGTCACATATGACGCTAAAGGATGAGAATTTGTTGCCAAACCTGGCGGAAACCGCGGCTAACGCTGACGTCATTGACTGGTGACTCCTCACCCCTGCTCACATGTCACGTTTCCTTGGTTAAAAATCGCAATTTTCTCACGATTTACAAATAGTTGAAAACATTTGGGATATTAAATGTAATCAACTAAACAAAATATATTATTGGCCTAGTGTTTTTTTTTTAGATATTTTACTGCAAAAATCCTACATATTGTACCTTTAAATGCTAAATTTTAATCAGTACACTTATTTTCAACATAATAAGAAATGCTTCTTGTGTATAATAGCATATTATAATTATTTATAAAAGATTATGTGACACCGAAGAGTGGGATAATGACATTGAAAAACTCAGCTTTGCCATCGAATGAATAGGAACAGCATTAAATATATTCAAATAGAGAATAGTAATCATGAATTGTAATATTTTTCAATATTACTGCTTTTACTCTATTTATGATCTGATAAATGCAGACGTGGTGGACATAAGAGACGTTTAAAAACAGTAAAAGAAAGCTTAAACTCGTGGAAAAAAAATGTTCAATGGATTTCTATAAAGATAGTTCCTCTCACAGAAACCCCTAAAAGGTTTAATAAATGAAATGCCTGACATAACTCTTCAAGCTTATTATCGTTTACAATCAAAAATAAATAAATAAATAATTACATAAAAAGCAATCTGCAATGTCCAACCCCATATGTTCACACAAGGGTTTAAGAGGGTTATAAAACCTAGGGGGAACACTAATAAACAGAAAATGTATCTTTATAGGGAACATATTCCCACACTCTGTGTGACCACCTTCATGAACAGCACCATCTTGATTAGCAAATGTGTAACATTCCTTCGCACTCTTTATGGACACTTGTGCGCTGAAGTCTGAAACATCGGTCCCAGTTTGCAACATTAACGGTGTGTAGAGTGAATTTATGGTGCGGTAGACTGGAGGGTGAGATGGGCTATCCTGGAGGTCAAGCTGACCAGGGCAGATAACACAAGCTGATCCAGGGCACTGCAGGCCACTGTCCCCCCCCCCCCTCTCAACCCATTCCATGGATCTTCAGCCCCATCCGTGCCTCTTTGAAGTACCTGTGATTTAAGGTTATGAGAGAAGGACTCTGGCGAGGCCTCATTGATCTCCAAGCGTATCGGCGGCTGCGACTCTGCCACGCTTTTGTTGTGAGGAGATTGACCCTATTTTCATCTCTCCGTCAACGTCTGATGACCGGACGGTGAGTCCAACCTCTGGCATCTGGCTTCTCTGAAGTGATGCTGTGGAGTGAAATACTGAGTGAGCGGGATAAACATTTGCTTTTATGCTGAAGGTGCCGGAATTCAGCAAGCAGATCTCGGACATTGAGGACAGCACATGTGTGCTCCAACGGATGGTTGGCTTGAAGATGATTGCGTGTTTATGTGACGAATGGGATTCTTAAACAGCATGCGATTCCACAAATCAGAAACCATTGAAGAGGAAAATCGCTTGCCAAATTGTGGCAGATCCAGTTACTCCAATCAGATTGTAATGGTGATAAATGCAGAACCAGAAAAGCACACGCCGCAATCGCACACATCAACATTACTTGCTTGCTTGTTGTTCCAGCATCACTGACAATTTGAAGTGTTTGAGGATGCGTGCCATGGAAAGAAAAATGGCTGCGGCGGTTGTTCTTGTCTAATTCATACAGCCAAGCTGCTTTGAAATTTAACAAGCAAAAGAATTACAGCTCCTGAATGTCAAGCGGTTTATTTTGTTTTAATGCTACAGGAAGCAGCTGCCATCTACTGTATGTACACAGCCCACCCTCTATAATCCATATGCAGTACACTCTGCATTGCATTAAATCTCTTCTGCAATATAGCAAAGCACACTGAAAAAAACTACTTGTAAGATTTACTTAATAAAATCCTCGTAACAATTTGCACAAGTAAATTTTAAGTAAATTTTACTGCTATAATATTAAGTACAACTCGCGTGCCATTATCAAGTAAAATCTACTTAGTATTGAACAAAACTCTCATGAAGAAATTAAGTAAAAAATACCCATTTACATTTCATTTAGAAGCTATATCTATTTAAAGTAATTAAGTAAAGTTTATTTATTGTTTTTAAATTAGGAAGCTTGCTTTTATGAAATTTTTAAGTAAATCTTACCATTTAATAAAGTAAAATAAGTAGATATTATTTAAGTTTTTTTGTTGAGATTTTCATTTACTACATATTTAAACATTTAAACATTGATAATTTCTTTTTTATAAATAATCATGAACATAAATAAATAATCATTTTCTCAATATTTTTCACAAATCACACAACTAAAATTCAATTAAACAGTTTATTTTTCAGTCATCAAAAATGTTCATACAAGAATGGACATTCAGTCATCTCTTGACACATGTGCATTCAGTAAAACTGTCTTTACGGTATTGCTGCTTCCAGCATTTCCTTCCCTTCAAAAAGGGTGGATACATCGATTGGATCTTCTCCATCAGCACCACGAACGACCAGTATTTTAATGCTGTGCTGAGTGATGTCACTGCCGCTGTCCTCCTGCATACAATTTAGAAGAAAAAATATAATTCTTTTGAGAAACAAAAATATAATGGCTTAAATTATTTTATTTGACTTGCATTAAAGGACAAGTTCGGTATTTTACAATTAAAGCCCTGTTTTAAGATCGTCCCTGATGAAATAGAATAGTTAAGATTGTTTTTTAGACAGATGCTCCGGTCACGAGAATTTTTGGATTCTGTGTTAGCACCCCCCCCCCCACACACCTTTATAATGAAAGCATAGGTGCACTCGAACAATCATTCATTAAAACGCATAAAACTTTAGTTTACAAAGACGTGAAACTCACCGAGTGGTCTGGGGTGTTCACTGATATGCTCACACAAAAATCGCTGTAAAAGATGCTTTCCAACAGGTTTTATCGTAGTTTTTGTCCAAGTCCATTTTCTTCCTGTTTTTGGTCGAAATCCACAGTAGTCGATTATCGAGTTTGCGTGCGCGATCCTTAGTTATCTAGTTCGAGTTTGCGTGCGCGATCCTTAGTTATCTAGTTCGAGTTTGCGTGCGCGATCCTTAGTTATCTAGTTCGAGTTTGCGTGCGCGATCCTTAGTTATCTAGTTCGACCGAAAACAGGAAGAAAATGGACTTGGACAAAAACTACGATAGAACCTGTTGGAAAGCATCTTTTACAGCGATTTTTGTGTGAGCATATCAGTGAACACCCCAGACCACTCGGTGAGTTTCACGTCTTTGTAAACTAAAGTTTTATGCGTTTTAATGAATGATTGTTCAAATGTGCACCTATGCTTTCATTATGCATATGAATTCATGAAATGAATAGTGGAATAAAGTCATTATGTTTGCGCACAAAAAGTATTCTTGCCGCTTTATAAACTTAAAATTGAGCCACTGCAGTCACTGCATGACTACTTTGATGATGTCTGTATTACCTTTTCTGGACAAGGACGGTATATCATACATACATTGTATTTTGAAGAAAATGGGATATCAAACAGTTGACTGTAGCCATTAGAAATCTACTATGGAAGTCAATGGCTACCGTCATTTGATTACCAACATTCTTTTAAAATATCTTTGTTTGTGTTCATCAGAAGAAATAAACTCACAACGGTTTGGAACAACTTGAGTGTAAACAATGTTTACACAATGTAAACAATGACAATTTTTATTTTTGGGTGAACTATCCTTTTTAGGGTGCTATAAACTGGAGTGCAGTTTTCTGTGAAATAAATTTGACTCTGTTTAACCTTTCACACGCAACTTTAAAATATTCTAGCTGACCACCCAGTGTGCGACTTTCATTTTAAAATATATCTCCTTATTATTTCCATGGCGACGTTTCGTGATTGTGAAAATGAAAATGATGTCATTAATGACTCACCCTCATGTCGTCCCGAGCCCGTCAGAACTCTGTTCATCTTCAAAACACAGTTTATCATCTTCTTTATCGTCAAAGTAGAGAATGAGGCTGCGGATAACTGATTCCCATCTCAAGGCTTTGTGTCTGTGAACAGATTTATATTGTACCATTACACAACCTTTTATTCATACACAATGAACTCAATGAAATCAAGTGAGAACACAAAAGCATTCATGCGCAAGGAACACTGATTTGAGTACTTAGAGCAAAGTGACTCTACTTCCTGTTCCTGTCTGCCTTGCATTTTGGCCAAAGCAGAACTGTCGCTGAAACTCTATCATCTTCAGTACAGATTCTTAATATTTGAAATTTAAGTTGTAATTTATGACTAAAATTCTAATTACTGAAATTTCTGAACTTTTGACTTTTGTCTGTTTAATACAGTAAAGCTACTTTAATGCAATCTATATTGTATTAAAAGCTATACAATAAATGTACATGCATGTATGAGAAAAATACATTAAGTATATCTTATTTAAAAAAAATGTGAACAAGCACACTTTTGATCAAACACACCTGACTCAGTTTGTCCAGAAATGGCCTCAGTTTGGTCCCCACAACACCTCCCATGGCCTTCATCAGGGCAATAAGTCTTGATGTGCATTGGTCAAGTCTGAACATGAATCTCTGCCCCATGATCGATTCTCCTGAATTCCTCCTTGATCTAATGTGACAAAATGATTCAAGAGTACAACAGCAGAAATTTGGTTAAATAGACTGATGCAGGGAGCAAGGGTTAATTATACAAGGACTGTAGATATCAACAGTGGAGTGAACAATCCAGCACTTTCTTTTGTAATGTGCAAATCCAAAAGAGAAACACTAATTTGGCATTTCAATTTTAACTTTGAGTTTAGTACATTTCAAGTTTATTTATTTTTTCATGTGCTAAATCAGTTACTGTTGTCAATATTAATATTGCCCATGATTGCCACTCACGATCTCTATTTTCTACAATCAACTTTTAGAAACAGGATGATTTTAGAAACGCAGCCCTGCTTACTTTAAGACCTCATTTATGCACGATTTAGTGCGATTGAAAAAAAAAAAAATAGCTTTATGTGTAAACGTTCCATCCTGAGCAATATTCAGCAAGAGCATTCAAACTTTTCCATAGTCAACAGTATAACGTTAAGAGCGGTTGACATTAAATTGTTAATTTTAAGGCCCAATTTTAGCTAGCTAGCAGTTAAAACGGTAAAGATTGTATACTAATTTCTACTCAGTTTGACATTTTTACACGAAAAACAGTTCTTTGTGAATCTATAAAACTATTGAAAACTTCCGATTCAATATAAATAATGTACGTTAACGTTAGGAAGTGAAAAGGGGTTAACGATACAGTATACTGTTATGGATAACCCACACGCGTTGCACTAATATGAGGCCATGTTGTAAGGTGAGCATTAATGTTTATTGAGTCAAATAAACAAGAATCATCAATCAAAACCCACACAGACTCATGTTTTATTAAATGTAAAACAGAAAGACAAACTTACCTCAAAAACGACAGAAAGCAGCCACGCAGCAGCCCGCCAATTCGTCTCGTCTCAGATCCAAAGTGCGCAGTTAGACTTGTCCAAACGCGCATGTGCGGATTCAAACGCGCTATGCTTTTCTATTAAAATTTACTTAAAATGACTATGTTTATGTGAAGGGACTATAAAACGTTTAAATATTACAAGAAAATATATAATAAGATTTACTCTTTCCAACCAGTTAATTTATTACATGAATTAAACGCGTAGATATTTAAAATTTTACTTAGAAAATTCTAGTTCACATTGAATTTTAATTTTATTAAGTAAAAATTATGATGATTCATTTAATATATATTACTACACCAAAAAGTTCGTTTTTACAGTGCAGTGCCGTGTGATGATCATTCTGTGCGAGCTCAGAGAAAATTGTTTTTCCAAGAAGTCACACTGTTCTATGGGCTGTTGTTATTTGGGTCAATAGCAAATAAGAGTAATAAAAAAATTAAAAATAAAATAAACGTCTTTAGACATTTTCTCTTTGCGTTCATGTTGATTTTTCATATGGCTTTGATAAACGTTTAATACCGTTTTCACAAAATGATCAAATTTAATCTCTCTAAAAATGTCATTTGGTGTAACCATAAAGTAAAAATTAATTACTGTAATTAGGTACTGTAATTACACCTTACTTACCGTAAATGTAAATAAGGTACATTAAATACATCTAAAACTTTGAAAACTTCGGTGTTTAACAATATTTTTACAACGGTTAAATTATATAAAATATGAATGAATCATTCGTAAATGTAATTAGATTTTGACATACAAATGTCAAATGATCTGATATTTTAAGATGATTATTTATACATTTTTAGGGTTTGCAGCACACATATTTGTTTTGACAGACAATCTTGAGCAGTTTTGTATTTACCAAATAAATAATGCTTAAAATGATGTATTTTCCCAAAAAAATATATTTTTTAATTATGCTTTGTTCGTCATGATAACAAGACAGTTGTCTCAAACAAAGAAACGAACTAGCGAACGGCCGAGATGTGTTGCCACTTGAGTTTTAGACGTAAGCTAACAGCTCTGTTAGCATTTCCAGGAAGCAATCTTTAGCTATTGTTGTGACTGGATGTATTAAGCTATCAGGCTTCACAACAGTTCACGCAGGTAATTGCTTGTTCATAAAATAATTGAATTATGAAGTCACTCACACAAAGCTCCGCTAATTCCCCTTTGAACTCGAAAAGAGTTTAGTGTGTAGCAGCATGGCAGTCTGTCATGGCCGTTGAGAAGTCGCTATTAAAATAATTAGTTAGAATTGTGGGAAAACATAAACTCTTCATGACCAGATGATCGCAGATGGAATCTCCATGGCAACATTTCCAAGGAGATGGAGGTTGATGCAGAAACAAGAGTCAGTGTGTTTGCTTTGGTGGACATTGGTGTCCTTGGTGTCACTTCAGTGTTGAGAACCCATGCCTATTTTGAGAAAAGCCCCCGTAAAAAAATGATATTCTGCAATATGACTTTCCAGAACAAATTTCCAAGGCCTCAGAGCTTAGAAACCACTCCACATTAACATTATCTTGCGGTTAAGTTCTGTCACCTTTCAGCAGAGCTCTAACCACTGCAATGCTTGATTTAGCTGTCAGTAGCACTTTAGCACATTTTGGCTAAGGTACAGTGGATCCTCCACTGCAAATGTTCTGTTCACTAACATCACTTCCTAAATCACAGCTGTTCGGTAGACGGAGGGAACAGAGTGGCTAGACGGAACCCGGACCAACCCTGAGTCTGAGATCAAGGTCTGTGATGTTGTTTGAGCTTCTCAAAATTGAGTGTGATTTATATGTCATGGGGAAAAACTGTCGGTTTTTGCAATTTTGACAATGATGACCTTATGAGTGGGGAATGGTGGACTCCAAAAGGCCTTTTGGGAGACAAGCTGCTGCTTCATCTCAGACAATGGAGCACTGTACTGCATTTCCTATTATTGCCTTGGATCGTTTTTAAACATATTAGGTCACTGTGATGTGGCCGTTACATATCGCCGCTCTAAAGCTGACCCGCTTGATCAGATTCAAATGAGTGATCGTTCTGAGATCAAAAGATCATCTGTTTTTCAGAGATGCTCATATGGACTGTGTAGAATAATAAAATATGGATTAAATGATTAAAGATGGATGTCAGGTTGTCCACTTATGAGCTCTGACAACACTATCTCACGACCAATTCGTACGAATTCGATGCATGATTAAAAATTGACTAATTCGTACGACCTCACTCGTACTAATTCGTACGATTTGTCTAAACCCACGTGATGGTTAGGTTTAGGGGCGGGGTAAGGGGTAGGTCATTCGTACGAATTCATACGAATTGGCCAATTCGTAAAACATGTACGATTTAGCAAAATCGTATTAATTCGTACGAGTGAGGTCGTATGAATTGTTATGAATTAGCCACTTTTTAATCATTCGTCGAATTAGTACGACTTGGTCGTGAGATCGGGTTGGCTCTGACCACAACTTTCTAGGATTCACATACACATTATTTGTCCATTGGTAATACCTGAAACGTATCTCTCTTGAGTAGTTCTTCTTGGCAGTCGCCACTCTCCGGTCAGCAATGGGATGAATTTGGAACAGATTGCAGATTAAACTTGAGGAGGTAATTAGGCCTAAAGAGGAGATAATTTTGCTCCAGCCAGGCTCCTGTTGTTTTAAGTCCTTCTGGAAAATGTGGATTTTCCAATGATGACCATTTAAAGGTGTCACTGTGGAGCCATGGTGAATTAAAGGGAGTCACTACATAGTCTAAACAAGCAATCTTCTCCATTATCAACAGCCTGACAGGATAATAGAGTACAACTGGTCATGTGACAAGGGCTATGGTGACAAAAGACCGGCATCTATCATTTAGCCGTCTTGCAACGGCGCACTTTTTATTCGCGCAGTTCGATTTAAAATGAAACAACGGGAAATTCAGCAAAAGGAAGGAGAGTGAAGAAAATGCTTTGAATTTGTAAATATCTCTCTCTCTGTGTGGGGGAGCGGGGGTTAATTTATTTATTTAGTATCAAACATTATTTAAATGTATTTAATGAATTTCAATTTGCAATTATGTATTCAGCAGATCAGATGCCTTTATTATTAACACCTTACAAAAGTAAAGCAATTTGTCAGAGCCAACAATATTTGTAATATACAATGGCAGATTTATCAGCAAACTGGATAAGAAAGCAAGATGAGGAGAAATGCAGAGACGAAATTCAATTTTCATGTTCTTGTTGCAGCCTTAACACCAACTAACTCAGCATTGAGGTACTTTGACGAACAAAGCAAAAACTACCATAAAAGTTCAAGAGGTTATAAAGGTAAATGATTTCATCTGCCTGGCCCAAACTACAGCAATGAACGCGGGCCAATAGCAGCACAATGAGCCGGTCCATTCCTCTCCTAGGTGGAAACGTATAGTTAGAGTCCGTAATCTCCAGAGACGCCTCCAGCTCGCCCCAACCCCGAACCCCCTCCTCGCCAAGGGCTTTTAAGTGGAACCTTCTGAACATCGAGCCATAGTTTGCTGGATAGCAGGCAGCTGGACTTTGTCATGCATGACCAGGGACATTCTTGTTAGTGTAGTGTAACCTTTTCTGCACTAACACAGATAACACTGGCACCTAGCTGGGTCCTAATCTGCGTGCAGTGCCCAAGCAAGGGGAGGGAGACCGGGTGGAAGCTAAGAGGTGGTGGTGGGGGTGAGTTGAAATTATTCCGAACAGCAGGCCAGCAGCAGTGACTATAGGGACCCTGGCACCCCCAACACCGGTGGTGACCTCACTACACTGAGAAAACAGATTCCCATTCAGGGACATTTATTGCATATCAGCCTGAGATCCTGAAACCAAACTCCTACTGTAGAACAACATTGGGGCTGTTCCTCAGCCAAGTGCTTGACATTCGCTTCCCTTTGTTTTCCTATTGGAATGCTTAGTTTGTCAGTTTGCATCTGCTTTATGCTGTCCCTAAAACCTTGAATATGCAAACTGGTTGTTTTTCAAAAGCCGCCCCGACAGCATGAAATATAAATGAGTTGTAGACCAGTTGCAGTAGTCCGTGTGTTTAACTCTTCGCCGCTCGTGCATATTATGCGCCAGAGGATCAAAGAATCGAGGGGTTCATCGCTAAAATGTTCATCTAATCTCAATAGAGCTGCAAGGGATTCACTGTTGGTGTGGAGAGCTTAGCTGCTTCAGGGAGAGGGGCCTTCAGACAGAGAGAGCCAACATGTGTACTCCAGATGCCCAAATGTAGAGGTGGGTGTGAGCCACCCTAGTGCTGACAATAATTCGGGGACAGCGGGTGTCAGGCTGAGAGAGGCCTACACCTCATCACCCTGCCGGCTAATTGATTTCCAAATGAGCCGCGGTATTTCTGCACAGTAATCTTGAAAGGCGGTCATAAAAATGTCCGGGGATACAGGGTGTGCCGCGCTTTTATC